CGTGAGCATCGCGACGATCTATCCGAAGGATGAAGGATGATGTACAGTGTTCTCCAAAAGTACTAGTCTATCTCTACATTCCAATTACATATACTTTTAACTGTTATTTTAAATATAATTTTTAATTAAAAAAAAAAAAACAATCTACAAATGTAAGTTAAATAATTTTTTTTATAAATAATTGAACTTGACACAAGAACAAATTATTCGGTATTTAGAAAATTTTTTATGTTTACTTTTGTAAGTGCGAAATGATATATTGATAATGATCATATATTAATTACATAATTTTTAATATTAAAATATTTATAATTTTCTAAATTGGCAGACGAATTGTTAAAAAGCGAAAAAGAGGAATTTAAAAAAAAAAATAATAATCTAAAAATTGATGCATTTGATGCTTTTGACACTACATGATATTACACGTGTAGAAAAGAATTATTCGGACATTTATCTATCTCAACTATCGTCGTCAAGAGTTAACAGTCGCGAGACTCTATAGATCCTAAAGTGATCGTAAAGTAGGAGGTGAACATTGAATAAACTCTTTTCGAACAATCGAAAAGTATTCTGAATGCACGACATATGCGCGACATCGGCCGGCACATACGCAGATGCAGATGCAACGAGGTACGCTCTTAGCCTAACATCCAGAACTGGCAGATACTTCGCAATAAATCAACGCGCAACCTAATTAGCAGGCGAACCCTATAATAGGATTCATTACGATCGAATCACCGCTAATTACGTGAAATGTATCACCAAATCTTTACACTAATAGATTTAATTCAGATTTATCGAGAGATAAATTTCAACAAGTTATACCACCAATTTTTCTTTTAAAACTTTATTAATACGATTGCTTTTTCACGCAAATCACGAGAAATTTGACAATAATATGACATAATATGACAAATTTATTAGTAGCACGCTCGTCAAGTCTGAAATAAAAAGCGTAGCTTAAGAGCGCTTTGAAATTCATAAACGGAGTCTCATGAACGCCGCAATAACTGCGCCGTATTATCGCTCAGTACATCTATGTAAGAACACGAGCACGGCGGGAATTAGCGATTAATTGCTAAATACATGACCGGCGCATGTAAACCGTCGCACATACCAGTTTACAATACGCCATGACTCGATAATAGTGCTTTAATACTATAACTAGTATTATATGATCGCGTGCAATTTACAATCTATTTCAATTCACGACGATGTCTCACATTTCTTAATTATATTACTAAAAATCAATTGCCGAATTATGCTTTTCTTCTAAATAATACGTGTACAAAAATAATTCTTTTATATTTACAACTTCTGAATAACAGCTTAATATAAATAAATTAATTATTCACTAAATCTAAAAACTTCTTTCTATGTTTTGCCTTTTCTTGCAATTATGGTTTTAAACGAATTGACGATCAACAATAAAGTTTAATCGTTATTGAAATCTTTTATATAAAAGATTTTATGTACTGTTTTAATTACAAGAAGGCTTTCTTCATTTTTTATTTACAGACGATTTACGAACACCTACCATTGCAAACTAAGAAGTTAAATAACATATTAATGTAAACATTGCAATTAATTCTTTATCTGTAATCGCAATACTTCCAACTTTTTTGATAAATTGTCAAAGGAATAAG